AGTTACCGAGAGAGCAAGATCCCGCCCTACCGACGGGTACACAACGTGAGGAAAGTTCAGCAGAACACGGATCATCGGGGGACCCCCTCCGTTAGTCGGTGTCTGGGCGCAGTTGGTAAGTTGGATCTGGCAATCTCGCAGATTTTGCTGATCCCGCTACACCACAATGGTGCGCGTGCCCGGATCGTTTGGTGACTCGGGATTTCACCGTGAGTCCCAAGAAGATGCTCAAGTGAAGATTGAGCCAGGGGAAGAGGCGTCGTCGGAGGTCGGATCGACGAAGACGCTGCTGAATGAAACAAGATCCGCGGATCGATGGAGTTTTGGGAGGAACTCTGTCGACGGAAGAGAGGTGGATCCGGATCCGGATCTAGAAGAAAAATCTCTCTATCCTCCCCAGGTCCCCTCGGGGACCCCTGCGGATCTTGCCGCAAGTCAATATCCGCTAACAAAACAAGGGAAAGTGAAGGCGAAACGGTATGCATTTGCAGATTCACCGGTTAAGCCAACACCGTACCTAAACCTAAGCCCGCTAGTCGAAGTAACGAGAAAGAAGACGAAAACGAGTAAGACTACGCGGAAGAAGATGCAAGCTCCAGAGTCGGAAGAAGACCAAGCTGGATCCAGGTCAAGCTGGTCCGATAAGGATCTCGAGTTTGTGTATCGCCACCAAGCTTTACGCGACTTCCTGCATCAAGATCCTGTCATGCAGATCCTGAATCCACGACAGATCGAAGATCCAAGGGAACCGGTGAGAGAACCAACGAAAACGGCGAACAAGTTGGTGGCAGTCAAAGATCTATTACGTTTGCTTACGGAGTCAGGCATCGTGGCTGGTGTGTTCGACGCAGAGGATATCTTCGAGCTAGACCTGGATCTCATAGTATCCGTGACGCGGGACCACTTTGCCAGAGTTAAGTCCATCACCGGAGAAAGGTCGCGCACTATGGATCCGGTGTCGTCGCCGAGGATCAGCCAAGCTGTGTCCTCGAACTACGAATCCGCCGCTGAGGATGAGTCAGACACGTCGTCCGAACCACGACGCATGACTTTAGGACCCTCCGGGTGTAGGTATTTGCGTGGCATGCAGTAATGGCATGCAGACTATCTGGAATCAAGAACACCATCTCGAAGGACATCATGCCTATCAAGTTGCAGCTACTGCATTACTGGTGCTCGACGCTCAAGGCTGTTTCAAGACGGTTGGCTACAATACGAGTAGGTAGTCTAGTGAACACAGCGATAGGAGTCTAGCCAAAGGAAGCTCACTTCTGAACTTGCAAGCAATAGCACACTAGCATTCCCAGCAAAGCGGAAACTACCACAAAGTATACTTTAGTCCTCAGGGACCGCTAGCATGGCAAGCAGCGCACAGCAATATGAAGCGGATGGCGACGCGGTGATGCATTCGGCGCACCAACCAGTTTTCGAGTTTATCAAGGCACCTTGGCTTGAAGATTGGAGCCACAACGCGTTGGTCAAGTGAAGCAAGCACGTGACCAGTACGAAGAGACCATCCGACAGCGTTGTCTCGAGAGCAAGGAGCGACCCGAGACTGCGATGAAGCCCGTAAAATCGTCGATTCACCGAAAGTTGCTGGAGGTGATCTGTCTCTACGAGCTGCGGAAGGCAGTTGACGACGTTAGTAATGAGGAGATCCTCATACTGATCAACCAACGTATCGGCACCGTGAAGAATGAGCAAATACCTGATCTTGACGAGCTCTTCAAGAGGAAGTTGAAGATCAACCTCGCCGAGGATGATATTGACGCTCGGGTGCTGAAGTATTATCGAGATTTCGCCACCATTATAGAGAATAATGGGCTGGAGAAGATTCTCGGTGTCGGAAACCCTGAAGCACAGGGGTTTGCCGACCGCATGAAAATGCGCTGCAGTATTTTGATCGACAACCTCGAACCGAGAATGGTCCGTGACGATGTTAGACGTCACTGCAAGTACGCATGTAGAGAGGCCAAGAAAACGATTTCATGCTCTTCAATATCATTAAGGAGAAGGCAAGGGCACAGCACAAGTATCATTTGCTGGCGATGGAGCAGAAGGTAAATTCTGCTTCCAGCCGCAAATCCAGTCAGGTCGAGCCGAAGACCAGGCCTGGCAGAGCAGAGCAACGGGTCAATGGAGCCCAGCGCTTCAATCTGAAGCCAAATACTGCACAACCTCAACGAACGGACTCAACGCCTCCGAAGACTGGTTGCTGGCACTGTCAAGGCTCTCACTGGCTTCGGGACTGTCCGACTGCGACGGCCGAAGATAAAAGTCGGGCAGTGGACAGGATGAAAGAAGTGAAGGACAGGTCACGTGTGACGATGGTTCGCACTGCACCCCAACCAGGCGAAGTCATGGTGAATGAGTTAATTGTATTAGCATATTGCGCCGGCTCTGGTTCCGACTCGACGGTAATACCACGTACTGCGGTTGAAGAGTTGGTAGCTCTGGGGAGTGGTGTAAAGGTACAACCATTACCGACACCAGTTGATGCAATAGTAGCAGGGGGGTCAACGGTGGTCTGTCGCGACTCCGTGACGCTCAACATCGTTCTTCAGACCGCCTCCGGCACTGTCCGCCTGCAAGAGGTCACATGTCTGGTAATGGAAGGAAATGAGTCTGATTTCCTTCTTGGCAACGAAATATTAGTATCACTGGGTATTGATGTCAACCACCAACTAGAACAACTTGCCGGTAGTGCTCTTCCGAAAGATGTCGACCCGTTTGAAGAAGAGGACTGTCCAGATGCGGATCTGTCTGTTGCTGACGTTTGTGAAAAGCTTGAAGACATGGTGGTTGCAGCAGGCAACAGCGGTTTCGACCAGGGATACCTGTCGTTCCTCCGAGACATTACATTGGAGTACGAAGACATCTTTAGGATTGATCTTGGAGCCGATCCTCCTGCTGACATTGCACCACTGCGAATCAAGCTTGTTGAAGGAGCTAAACCCTTCCGTGCCCGCTCGCGCCGATATGCTCCGGCACAGCGCAACTTCCTTCGGGAGTATACGAAGCGGCTAGAGCTGATGGGGTTTATCCGGCAGAACAACCAGAGCCACTGGGCCTGTGCAGCAGTACCTGTGGCCAAACCCAAAGTACCCAGTGAGTTCCGGATGACGATCGATTATCGTCCGGTTAATGCACTTACTGTGCCGATAGCAGGATCGGCAGAGGATGTGACGGATTCAGCGAGCAAAGCTGAGGGAGCGTACGGTTTTGCGGATTTCGATATGCCAAAGGGATTTTGGCAGCTCCCTCTCCATCCTGATAGCCAAGAGTTGATGAGTTTCGTTACTACCGATACTGTTTGGACACCAGGACGCGTTCCGCAAGGGGCAAGTGACTCAGCCACACACTTTCAGAATGAGATGCAGACTGTGTTCGCTGAGATGTTGTATGCCCACCTGCTGGTATGGATCGACGACATTCTAGTCTACGCAAAGGACCCAGCAACATTTATCACAGCACTACGTCAGTTTTTTTTAGCTCTGTCGTGTCCACCGTTTGAAACTCAGTGTGAGTAAAAGCTGTCTGTTCAAAAAGGAGATCCGATGGTGTGGACGTGTATTCAGTGGCGCCGGTATCCGCCACGACCCAGAGCGTATCAGCGCTCTTCAGGCGCTTCCACTGCCAGCTACGGCTGCTGATCTACAGCAATTCCTATGTGCTGCAGGGTGGATGAGGGATACTCTCGTGGATTTCGCCCGGGTCATGCGTCCACTACACGACAAACTGGAGGCAAAACTGAGCGTCAGTGGACGCACTAAGAAGCTGGCAGCCGGTGTTGCCTTGACGTGGACGTCCGACGAGGAAGGTATGTTCGCGACGGCAAAGAACCTTCCTGGTTCGTCACAACTGCTGCATTTTCCGCAGTCCTTGACCATAGTCTCCGTGTTTACGGATGCGAGTGACCTTGGATGGGGTCTCGTTGTGACACAGGTGGACACTTGGGACTCTGACCTGCCGGTACACGAACAGCACCACCAGTTGCTGGTATGTAAGAGTGGAATATTCGATACGACCGAACGCCGGTGGAGCGTTATTGAGAAGGAAGCCTACCCTATCATTTGGGCTGCACGCAACCTCGGCCATCTTCTCATCCGCCCGACTGGGTTTCGACTCTTTTGCGACCACAAAAACTTGTTGTACGTGTTCTCACCGACGCACGAAGTCAAACGTCACATGCGGGGGGAGCTTCAGCGGTGGGCTTTGTCTCTCACCGGCCTGCCGTACTGTATTGAGCATATCGATGGCGAAGCTAATGTCTGGGCAGACCTTTTGTCTCGCTGGGGTTCCTCGTCTTCAGGAGAGGTGGGTTTACACGTGAAGTGCAAGTTCATGACTCGTAACAAACAACGCATTGAAGATGCAACCAACAACCAGCTTGACGAGCTTAGACCGCGGCAAGGTGATTTTGTTTTTCCTACTCTGGACGAGTTGAAGCAACTGCAGCAGAGAAACAAGCGAAGTACACCAGAAGTCGTAGACGTTGACGACGATGGTATAATGTCTGTTGAGGGCAGATTCTGGATCCCAGACTCGGCTAAAGAACTACGGCAACGCATCCTAATCGTAGCTCACTGTGGAAGCCAAGGCCACCGTGGCCTGGACGCCATGCTGACAACCATCAAGAGCATTTTCTTGATCGGTAGTTTGGAGCAGCACTGCCGACAGTTTCTAAAGCGTTGCCTACTGTGCAAACACGTGAAGGGTGGCAACGTGATACCACGACCATGGGGACCAACATACAATGCAACCAAGCGGAATGAGATGTTGCATTGGGATTTTCTGTATCTTGGCGACAGTGTGGGCAAATGCAGATATCTACTTGTCCTGAAGGATGGACTTACACATTTCTGCGAGCTCGTAGCCTGTGACTCACCAACAAGTGCAGTAGCTACTAGTGGATTGGTGGATTGGGCAAAGCGTTTCGGCCCACCACAGATTCTAATTTCGGATCAAGGAAGTCACTTCAAGAACGAAGTTGTACGAATGTTGTGCAGACAATTTGGCATTGAACAAGATCTTGTTTTAGCATATGCACCATGGATCAACGGCACTATTGAGCGCCTCAATCGCGATATTCTCCAGGTCCTACGAGTTTTACTGATGGAGATGAAGTTGGACATACATGAGTGGGAGTACCTTGTGCCAACAGTACAAGGTATCCTCAACCACACTCCTGTAGCATCACTAGGCAACAGATCGCCCGGTGAACTCTTCACTGCATTGCCTCGGCCCTCGCCTTTTGAGGCAGTGCTAGTTGAGCGCAATGGCAAGACCGTGGTAATTACCGAGCCCGCGGATATTCCTACGGATATGGTGGAGAAAATGCAGCATAGCCTCCAGGAGATGCACAGAGAGGTAGAAGACATTCGCGAGCGTCACCGCCTGCAGAATATGAACCGCTCTAATGGAGTGCTGTGCAACTTCACTACCGGCGATTTTGTGTTGTGGTCTCGAATTGACTCTCGACTTTCAGTCAACAAGCTGTTGGCTCGCTGGGTGGGCCCATTTGAAGTTGTGAAGGAGCACCCACACTCATACATGATCCGCCACTTGCTAAATAACCAGCGCTATATGGTGCATGGTTCCCGTTTGAAGTTCTACCGCGACGGCAATCTTGGAATCAGTGAAGAACTACTTGCACACGTCGGAAACCAAGGAATGGTTCTTGGCGTCGAAAAGATTAAGAAGCATCGCAAATTCCAGTTATTCTGGCAGCTACTCGTATCCTGGGTTGGCTTACAGGACGAGGAGGACTCTTGGGAGCCGTTGCAGTCACTATTTGGCGATCTATCGGACCGTGTGGCCGCATACGTCGCTGAAACTGGTGACAATGAGCTTGCACAAGCTGTTACTTCAATTCAGCAAAGTTCCAGCACTTAAGGATGCGTGTGGGGCGAGATATGGGGCAACTGCAACGTGTTGAAGTGCAACTTGACCGGTAACAGTGGTCCCGCCGCATGGGTGGACTGTCTATTTTGGATACGTGACTGATTTCTATCAGATGGTGACTGGATTGTATCCATATGGATTTCGATCGCGCGGCGAAATTTCCTTTATTCATTTCTACATATTTCAGCTGCGGTGGCATGGTGTTCTTGGAGGGCAGTGTAGGTATTTGCGTGGCATGCAGTAATGGCATGCAGACTATCTGGAGTCAAGAACACCATCTCGAAGGACATCATGCCTATCAAGTTGCAGCTACTGCATTACTGGTGCTCGACGCTCAAGGCTGTTTCAAGACGGTTGGCTACAGTACGAGTAGGTAGTCTAGTGAACACAGCGATAGGAGTCTAGCCAAAGGAAGCTCACTTCTAAACTTGCAAGCAATAGCACACTAGCATTCCCAGCAAAGCGGAAACTACCACACCGGGGCATCCATACTGGAAGCGCGGGCGAGGATCCGAGGACAGGAAGTCCCTGTGAACGTGAATGCTCGGGATCCAGTACGCCCTACCCGTGATCTGACACAATCCAGCCAGGATCGAGCCAGATCCGGCAAGAAGCCAGTGGGGTTATCGTCAGATCGGACTCAAGGTAATCGCCTCACGGATCCTGTCTCGCCAGTGGACCATCCGGCCACAAGCTCTTCCGACACCTCCTCAGGTACCCTGCAGCGACACTTCGAAGCTGCGATGAGTCGTTTCCTGGCCGAACAGGGTATGAGAGCGCCCGTGCCACAAGTGCAAGTGCTCCACGAACATGGAGCACGAGACGTGGAGATGGAGTCCGTGGAGGGAGACAACTCCCATGATGAGTTCGACCCAGATGATTTGGATGGCCCATCCCACTTCGTCAGCAGTGGTAGCAACAGCCACAGCCGGGGCAGGTGGATCGTCCATGATCCAGAGGGTACGGATCTCAGCCATATCGGATCTAAAGGAGTTCACGGGCAAGGATCAAGATGAGGACCGAGCGAGAACATGGATCAGCAAAGTCAAGTCGGCCCTCATGAGAGATCAAGCGTCGGATGCTGAGAAGTCTCTGACCTTTGCGGATCTGCTAGCGGGGCCAGCCAGGAACTGGTATCGGCAGCTGGGCAGATCCACCAG